GGTTTTTTCCCCCGGGACGCTGTTGCTGCTGCTGCCGCTGTCGCCTTCTCCTCAGGGCCATACTCTACCATATCTGGACCTGGATAATGACAAACAATGAAGAGGACTGAATCAGATGGGAAAACAACACCGGACCTAAATGTACATATTGAGAAGTCTGCACTGAAAGGTGTTTGGTGGATTACTTCTTCTGAAAGCAGGAAAAGTACTTACTTGTTAGATTTAAAACATCAAAAGTCCCATAAGTAAATGCCTGATCAGTTTTTGGATTATTTGGACAGAACAGCCTCGTTCTACCCAGTAGTCATTTTGCATGAAGTTCTGCTTTGTATATCCTGACAGACAGGTTTGTTTAAAACTATTATCTCATCTTGAATATGGTGAGTATTGTTTTGGTTCCAGATCTGAAGAATAGCTCGTGAGATTGGCGCTTATAATTTATTTATGATTCCAAATGGTGTTTTGTCATTTTGTGGAAGATGCAAAGACTTGACTGTTTCCTGTTCTGTTCTCTGATATTCTGTATTTCAATAAGTTGGATGTATTCACCCAGACTTACTCCCACCTAATGGGAGCAGAATTATGAAGATGTCCACGGAGGCTGCACCGAATTCTTTGCTTTTCCCAAATTTTTGTCTAAAACCAAGATGTGATTTATCAGCATAAACTATGACATGAGGACTTCTAAGAGCTGTTTGGATTAAGAGGCTGAGCAGTAACTTGTGTCTCTGCCAGTCTAAGCTCCCGGGAGTGTGTGCAGGAGGAATTTCTGGAAAGACACTCCAAACGACTTCCTTAATGCACTGTAATAAATGGCTCGTGACACAACCCCCATTTTCCCTTATGGGTCTAGAGAAGGAGGTTTTCCATATATGTCGGCTTCCACATATTTTCCACAGAATCAGTGTTGACATTAGAGCAGCCTCCATCCAGCTCGCTGGCCTGGTTCTCATGCTGTCTGGCCTGGAAACAAACCCATGCAGTCAGCCGCCAACCCGACTGACTCCTGTCACTTCTTGGCTCACCTACGTTGAAAACACTTGTTGTTGACTAGCCTGGCCCAGCAGTACGCAGGCTGGCCCAGGCTTTTTTTCTCCCCAAGGCCAGGCCTTCACATTTAGGCTTGGCTCTGAGTGGGCTTCCCCTGTCCTGAAGTCATGGGGATCCAGGGTATGGAGCTGTTTGCCATTGGTGTGGTTATCATTCTTTTCATGGCAGTTCTCAAGCAGTTTGGCATCTTGGAGCCCATGTCCTCGTTTGAAGGTAAGGGCCCACCTGAGGCCCCTCTACTGGCTAATTTACAGCATCTACTACTTCAGTTGGTAACACTTTAACCCCCTTTTTAGTGCTTATACTTTTACTGTATAGGCATTATAGAAACATTTAATGGTTTATATAACAGTACAATGTCGCTATATGCATATATAAGAACATTTTTAATTCTGTATGCAGATATAGTTCAGTTTTACTATAATGTTTAGCAGGTCTGTTTACATGCTCACCTCTACGGATCAGTTGTTGACAGATGCATGCATATGAACAACCAGATTATATTGTGTTACATTTAATAACTGCTCATAAATAGGGTTTGAGGTAAATAAAACTGTCAATCCTCAGGTTTCATATATTAAGCTTTATAGAAACAACAAGTTCCATAGTTAAAAATTATTAGCCTAATGTTACTTTATTTTCAAATTTGGTGATAAACTGAAAGGCAAAGTGTTTCTTTAAGAGTAAAAAAAAAAAAAATCTTCTGCTTCCTAAGATAAATAAACCTTTTTAATACTTTCTAATATCATCTGAGAAAAGCTGTGCCACAAAACACCCAAACTACCTACACAGGGTTTTATTTTAGATCATGAAGTTTTGAATTTGTTTAATTTTAAAGTCAGATAATGCAAGCCCAGAAACTGCCTTGGCTATACCCTGAGGAGCGAGAGGCCTGCCTCCTAGTAAACACAGCTGACTTTGGTTTATGCAGCTGTTCCCCAATTAATTCCATTACTTGTTCCCAAAAAGGAGAACCCAAAGTATCTGCTTTCTGCTTCCCCTTTTTTTTTAGTTTAACTAGTGTACAGTAATACCCGTGAATAATTCTGTTGAGTATAAATTATTCTTTCTTATATGTAAATAAAACATCATGCAGTGTTATATGATCTAACTACCCAGCAGCTCATTAAGTTGTTGAAATGTGCTCCAGCTTCACCAGATACAACTATAAACATGTTGCTTACATGTTCATGCATCAGTAGCAGTAATAACCCACTGTGACAGGGGCCATTCTGCTGTACTAGAGCTTAAATATTTGGTACTGATAATACATGCGCACTTTTACAGTATTTTGTACTGATAATACATGCGCACTTTTACAGTATGTAAGGAAAGTTTTTTTATATTGTAGTATTGATAGTTTTATTTATATAAAGGATCTGAATGCCTCTACCAATGTGATTAAGTCACAGTTTCCCACTATCAGCAGATCTGTTTGTGGTATTGAGTGGAAAAAAGGTTAATGTGATGTTTTATTTTGCCCACTAAGGTATATACCATAAAACCTTGCTGGGCTAATAGACTTGTGTACATTTGGGACTGTGAAAGAGACATCAGATACTGCTCTTTGAATGATGCAGTTCCCTTTGATTAGAGTTTTGGGCTGAAGGCCAGCCAGTCAGAGTGCCCTGCAGTCATCAGAGTGCAAAGACAATTACAGCAGGAAGGCTCCAGTCGGCACATTAGTGCTTTACATATGGCTCGGCATCATAAGTAATAAATTCTACAGAAACACCAGTAATGTCCTTTCATAATTTATCACTCCTCTCAATCTCTCCAATCTTCAGTTCCCCCAGTAGCACCCCCATCCCTCCTCCTGCTCCTCTCAGTGTGGCAGGGCCTGCACCCCGGTTTAGCATTACTTCACATCAATTATACATGCAGTATCGAACAGGCTTTCTCTGAGGCCGCCTAAATATGGAGCCTGGAGAACTCCTGCAGGACCTTGAAGGACACTGGCTCTCTCTGAGTAGCCTCCGATATTCTCATCGTGTGCTTCATCCTCATTCCTGCCACTTCATTGCTTCGTCATCTCCCAGTGGGACTAATTTACCGGCTGCAGTGTCATTATCTCAACTGCTTCAGCATCTTCTCATTATCTCCATTATGTTTAGCTACCTGCAGTGGACACTGTGAATGGGCGGCCTCCTTTGACTTTCATTACGTGTTCACTTGCCTTCATGTAGGGAACTTCAAGACCCTAGATGCTGTGCTTTTTGCAGCCAGTGGTGGAAAGTAACTAAGTACATTTACTCAAGTACTTAAGTGCAATTTTCAGGTGCATGCACTTTACTTGAGCATTTCCAGTATCTACTTACTTATACGTCTGCTTCACTACATTTCTTCATAATACTTTATAGTACTTCATACTACTGTCAAAAATGGCAAACTGAGTTTAACACAGAGGCGGACTGATAATCTGGACATTATTTTATTCATCTGGAGGGTGTTCTCCGTACATGGATTAACACAGATTAGCCGAATAATTTTATTGACAGTTCACATGATGCCCAATTTGTTGGTTATTCAAAAGTCTCAAAGGACTTGTTGTCATGGCAACTTGTCCATAATCTCATACTTAGCCAGGAGCAGGTTTGTTCTCAGGTTTACACATCTTGACAGGGGAACAGATTTTGACACAACGCCAGAAAACCAGCTACGCCCAAAGTTATCAGTGTACCCAGATAGTCCACATTTAGCATCGGCAGTGCATTAAAAGTACTTCATCAATCAGCAGACCAATAAGGTGTGGTTATCCATCCATCCATTTTCTTCCGCTTATCCAGGACCGGGTCGCGGGGGCAGCAGTCTAAGCAAAGATGCCCAGACTTCTCTCTCAGAGAGAGAGAGGTGTGGTTATTTGTTACATTATGTATATTATCAGCACTCAGTACAAGATTCTTTAATGTTACTCTACAGAAGAAATCTACGCTTCCACACTCCTTGTGTATGTGCAGTTCTGTGTGAGGGTTTGTCCACATGGTGCAATTAAATGATCAGATTTAACATGACATCACTGGCCTTTGTTTGTGGTTTCAGGCCAGTCCTCTCAGCTCCGATTACAATTTTAGGCTCTGCCCAGCTTGGTCCTATTTTGGGAGGACATCAATGCTAGAGGTAGCTTTGCCTTCTGAAATGTATAGGTCCTATTCTGAGGCTCTCTAATACCAATACCTGGTATTTTTACTCCACATTTGACTCTCATGCAAGCTATTTAGTGAGTAACATCGATATACTGTAAAAAGAGATGGGAAGGAAACTATTAGTTTTATTTGCTCATCAGATATTTTCATGTTTTTCCATCTGACTTTAAGAACTTTTAGATTTAGCTGATTATTTGTAATGTCTATTTATGGGTAACGATTCTGTTTAGTCATTCAGAATGATGGGAGCATCCATTCATCCTTTTTCTGAACAGAAAAACCTCGCAACAATTACCCAAGATTTAAAAACCAAAGACTGGATTTTAACTGATCACCAGATTCTTCTTCATATTTTTCATTTTGATTTTTTAAAATAATTTTTATTAACAAGCAACAGTAGACATCTGTCTGTCTGTCTGTCTGTCTGTCTACAACATATTGTATTATTATTTTGAAGCCACAAAGTGACTAAACTCCTGTGCCTGCGGTCTCTGTTGCTGTTGTTTCATTTGTCTCCACTAGAGGGGAGCAGCAATCCGCCCAAAATGGAACAATGAAATGAGTTTAGAGCAAGTGTCACAGGGCCTGAGGGAGTGTTTGCTCCCCGTTTCCTTTTAATGCATGAGTATGAATGTGTGACAGAACTCTACTGGAAATTAAATCTGTGTTACTGACCCCAGGAGAGAGGGGAACATTTAGAAAGTGGATCACAGAACTGACTGGGAAAATAGGATTCAGGACACCTGTTGGCTTTTGCTATCATCCTGTTTAGTACAAAAAAATGGTTTTGTGCATTTACAGCAGCATCATTCGGTGCCTTGTCTTTTAGCTTGTTATTTTGATGAAAATGGGAGAAACATTTTCACTGGTTCCTCAGGAGATCACAGGTTAATTAGCTGAAAATAGGATGTGTGATGGAGGGAGGATGTAGAGGAGGAAGTTGCAGAGCATCAGTCTTTCAATCAACACTCATTGGATGAATGTTGGATGTCGTGTGGGTCTTTGCTGAGGAATAATATTCATTGGAGGAAACTGTATGCTTGTGCCACAAAAGCTTACATGTGTGATGTGAAAGTATCTGAGCCTGCTATCTGATTGGATTTCCCTTGGATCAACGTGGTTATCCAGGTTTTTTAGGGGGGATTTTTTTTCCTCTCCCTCTCTCTTTCTGGAGGTATTTTTACAGCAATAATCTGATCCACTTGACCTTAATAAAGGACCAGCCTCTTAGTTGTGGACAATACCCTCAAAGATTCATTAGAGCAAGAGAGAGCACAGGGGAAGAAGGCAGTCAATTAAACACAGAGAAAGGGAGAGCTAAATAGAGCAACAGAAAATGCGGGAAAAATTTGTGACAGAGTGATGAGTGAGTGACACTGTTTCAGAGATAGAGAAGAGGAACAAAGACTGAAAGAGACAAATGGAGTGAGAGTAAGTTGTTTGAAATAATAATGTAGTAGGAACTAAAAGGACTGTGGAAGAAAAGATAGAAGAAGAGGGGAAGATGAGTGTGAGGTGGGAGACAGAGGGACTCCAGACAGTTGGCATCGTCTGCCTGGTGATCATGTTCCTCAAACTGATGCACCTGCTGGGCCTCATCGACATCACTGAGACTGGTGAGACAACCGGGGAGAGGGGCAATGAGAAGGAGGATGATGACATAGAGAGAGCAGGCTGGAGTGATTTTATCTTTTTTTTTTTTATCTGGGACTAATTTGACTTAAACAATATGGCTGCTAAGTTTTGACATTTGTTGGTGTCACTGAATTGCAGCAAACATCCAAAAACAACAATGCATTACTCTTCCTTTCAATACTTTTTGGCCACTGGCCATTCAGTATTCTACAAATTTCATTTATTTACATCTCATCTGCAACAGCAGAGCTTTTAAAAACACATAATTGTAAAGTGATTTCATTTTTCTATTAATACAATGTTGAGATGTTGTTAATTAGTAGATCTGGCAAGTTGCAAAAATATTAATACTGAATGTTTCAGTGGATTGTTCATAGCATATTTGTTTTCATCTGAACTGTTTGATCTTGCAGAACAATATCTGCTTGCAGTGATTATTAACTTTTTTTCATGTTTATGAGTTTTAGCATGACCCATGGACGATATGAGGCAAGTGATTTGTTACAGAAGTTAATAGTTTTTGAGGGACTGGATCTGGAACTGAACACATATGGAGACACTGAAATTCATTATCATGAACCGGACGATGGCTTTGACCCTGAAAAA